ACGGCAGTCACCGGGGACGGTTCTCACATCTTGCCTTGCACACGGTGGACATAATGACCACGTCGTCGTCTTCGACGTCTTCGATGTTCGCGAGTTCGCCGCATCTTGTGATACCGTCTTGTGCTTCATCCAAGGTCAGGAGCATCCCTCTGCGTTCACAACGCCTTTTCAATGCCTTGACGAGCCCGTCGGGAGGACGTGCGTTCCGGCCGAGGATTGGATGCACTCGACGATGCAAGTCGCCGGGAGGCCGCAGGACGGCAACTGAATTGTCTCCCGCCAATATTGACCCATCCCGGCTGCCTAGTCATAGGTTCGATCGGGACTGCGGGAGACGGAGCACGAGGTGTTCGCAGCTCCCAGCATGCGCATGCGTGGCATCGTCAGCCCCTGGTCTTTGCGACCATTGTGAGACCGGACACCCAACTGAACGGTAACGCCGTCCCGTGGCCAGCAATGCTAAACTTGCTCTTGAAGATATTCGGAATCCCAGATTCGAGCTCGTGGCTTTCGTCGACAGTGATGTGTGATTTGAGGACTTGCCTAGACCGAGCGGCAGAAAGGGACTGATACGCTCGCCCGCGGAAATAACAGGAGGGAAGACCATGCAAGAGAACATGCAGTCCAGCGTAGGTTGTACGTGTGAGCATGGGTAATCTTGGTAGCGACTACTATCCTGATTCCTGACCGAAGGTTGGCTGGCTTCGTGTAAGCAAGGCCATCAGCTTCGGCAGGTAGAGGGATAACTCACACCAACAATCTTCTGGTCGCACTCGAGAAGACGCAACTTTTCTGGCGTTTCTTTCTGTCCTGCGTAACTCGGTGTTCACTTGGTTGGATAGGAAAACATTGAGGACTGCGCACTCTGAAATGGTGACCGCGATCGTTTTGCTCATTATCGTCCTTCAGGTAAATTCCTACCGATGATGCAGCGGTTCCCAGCATCAATCGACATCACGGACCAGAAGGTGCACCTTTCAGCGAGCGTGCGAGTGGGAGCTCCTAGGAGCAAAGGCGTCGATGGGAGGCATGGCTGCGACGGGAATCCAGCTCCTTGTGGACTGTCGAAACGAGTGCAGTTGCGGAATTGAGAGGCTGCTGGTAATTGAGAGATGGCAGTCGACAGCATTAAGACGTTCTTGTTTGGGATTCGAGACTCTGCCGTTGAAAATAATGCAAAGGGGTTGTTGGTCGAGAGGAGGGGGAGGAGGAAATCGCGAGACGATACCTATTATCGGCGTTTGCGTCTTATCGCCGACAATAATCAGATAAGCACCGCGCACGAGCCACCTTCTTTCCCTCGGGAAACCTCGCAGCGTCACCTCGGGAAACTCAGCTCCGCCATCAGCGATGCTCCAGATAAGGCAACATGTTGACCAAGTCCACGGCCAACCCGCTTACTTTGGCCATAATGCCCAATTCCATCATCTTTCACGCCACTTTGAAAGCCTGAATTATGTCGAACGAGGCTGGCGAAGTCCCCTTTCCCTCGGAGCGCCCCTACCGTTCCCACCTCCGGCCGGCATGTTTGGCCTGTCGGAAGCGCAAGTCCCGGTGTAACGTGGATCGCACCGGGTCGAGTTGTCTTACATGTCGTGCCCACGGCACATCCTGCGAGTTCCCTCCAGCTCCAGCCACCGGGACCTCGCCGCGGCCGAAGAGCGCATGGAGGACTGCTCAAGCCCGCAAGTCGAGCGACCTGGGCCACCGCGCCTTGTCTCCTCCGCCACAGACGACGTTTTCCTCGGAGACCACTTTCGACTCTCAGCTCAGCACACTGCCGTTGCCGACCGTACCTCCGCCGGCTCCAGGTATGTCACGGTCGCCGGACGGTGCTTTGGCTCCGAGCTCCCCGCGTGATCGACACTACGTGGAACCCATCGCCGGAGGCGGCGAGGATGAGGCGCACATTGTAGGACCGGCGGATATCGAGGACACTCAGATCCTGTCAACGTACCTTTCCAATGATTCATCTGTACTCAATCGAGGCATTCGCACGAGGATATCCGGCACGAGCCCACGTCAAGAACATGGCGGCAGCGGTCGCAAGCCTGTCGTCTTCACCACTGTGCGAAAGCAACCTCTTGGCGTCCCGAATGACCGGACGCCTGCTTTCTTGAAATGCCAAGTCATTGAAAAGCTCTTGGAGCCCCTGCTGCCAGATGTGATTGAGTTGTAAGTAATCACCAGCAGTCAAAACACAGGGCTCCGCTCTGACCAGTCGTTCCAGATTCTTTGAGAAGCCCAATAGATGCTTCCCCTTGCTAGACAGACGGTCATTCGAGAAGCGCTACGCTGAGGACAGGAATCATATCGCTCCGGCTCTGCTCTCGTGTCTGTATGCTCACACAATGACATACTGGGCCCAGTCGCCGACTCTCATCGAACACCACCGCCCCGACACCAGGTTCATCTGGAATCAAGCCAACGACGCCCTTTACTCCGAGATCCATCTGTCACCCGGCATCTCAACGCTTCTTAGCATTCTTCTCAATATCTCTGGGAGACCTTTGACCTCAATCATAGGCAATGGCCTACAACTGGGATCAGCCATTTCCTTGGCCCACTCACTCGGCTTAAACCGAGACCCGTCCGACTGGGACATTCCTGAATCAGAGAAGCTGTTACGGACAAAGATTTGGTGGGCCATCTTTGTGTACGACAAGTGGTGAGTCGTTTGGATCTGAGGCAACATCCTTTCTTTCTGACAATACGCAGGTCAAGTCTTGCGTACGGCACACCCCCACAGCTCCGAAGTGGTCAACATGATGTATCTCTCCCGACAGTGGACCAGCTCTGCGGACCAGCTGCCAGCACCCTCGATCTCAACGCCGCCTTGGTTTACCTCGCCTTCGTTTCTCTGGCACAGTTCCTCGACAAATACCTAGAGCGTATATACGACCTTGAAAAGACGTTTACCAGCGGCCCATGGGATCTCGAGGTCCTGTTGACAAAGTGGGAAGATTCGCTCGACAACCCTCTCCGAAGAAGAATCATCCGCGGTGGCGACAGCCTCGACATGCCTGGATCAGCCAACCTCCGTCTCGCATACCTCTATATCAAGCTCCTCCTCCGAAAATGGGAGCTCGACGCAGAGAAAGCCGCCAACGCTGACCACACCTCCTCGATCCCGATGCGCTGCTACCTCGAAGTCCGTCGCGCGGCCGAAGAGATTGTGCTCTTGGTTCAGGAGTTGAAGGAGCCGCAGCTGGGTGACTACTGGCTTCCGCTGATGACGTTCGCCTTCACGTCGACTACCAAGTTTCTGCTTCGCTGCGCACTCGAAACGGAGAACACCATCAGCGGTCTGGCCCAGAGCATGTCATTGAAGTTGGCGCGCGACCTGATGTCCGCGCTGCAGACGCACCGCCAAAGGGCCTGGGATCTCGGCGATCTTTGCATCGCGCAGTACTCCGAGGTCATTGAAAAGCTCGCTTCGTCGACCGCGACCGCTAGCATTGCGGAGCAGCCCGTCGACATGCCTGAGCTTCAGGAGTTCGTGTCCACGAGTGTTCCGGATATTGACGAGTTGTTTCCGAGTTTGTGGGACATGTTCAGCACTGCTTGAGATCGGCATTGGGCACTACATCATGCAAAGGGTCTTCGAGTCCGTCCCTCGACGATTCTTCAGGCAGCGAGCCATGAGCTAATCCGTCAGTGAACAGGAGGTAAGCATGAGCATCGCGCCTGTCATCCAGTACCGCTCACACACGCAATGCAAGCCAGCTAACTTGTCGCAGGCGCCAAGACTGCGTCCTTCGCGCACTACAACAGTCGACAACTCCTTTCATGTGAAGCCCATCACAGGGCCTGCTCGACACCATAGGAGACACGTCTTCCGCTACCAAAACGAAGCAAAGTTCACCTCGGAATCATCACGATCATCTTCGTCTCCCACTCATCAGCCATCGAATACCATCAAGCGCAGCTTTAGGCTGTGTCGCCAGCCGTGCCTTCCTCGCCGAGTAACTACCGCGATAAGCATGTACCGTTTGAGGGAGAGCAAGCGACCGACCGTTGCGTACTTCCGAACGAAGTTCCCCGCGGATGTTTCGTCGAGTCGACGAGTACGTCGCAGATCTCATTCACAGCGGTGGCAGCTACGGTGTCTAAGTCTACGATAACATCGTCGACCAGTCCTTCCGTATCTAATCGCTTCCGGAAGGCTTCACCCACCACCATTTACGAGGATAACTTTTTCTGGAGAATGGCGACCGTCGTGTTGATGCCATTGAGCCCAGGAAACAGGCTCGCCGCGCCTACTTGTCACCAGACGATGCGACGACGGTGGCTTTGCTACAGCTGTGTCCCAGACAGCACAAATGTGACGAATTTTATGAGAAGGAATCCGGGTCGCTAGATAGTGATGGTATATGGAAAGCATCAGTAAACTTCGCAGTATGAGGTAGAAGAATCTGCGGATGACTGTGAGGCTGTAGCAGCAAGCAACGTAGACCTGCCAAAATAAATTGCATCACAACTTCCCGATCGCAACTTCCTCACAGAACATGGCCTCAAAGGGCAACAAAGTGGTGAATCAAGAAGGCAGCAGAATAAACACATTCACAACATCATGAACAGAACACATCCACAGAGTCATAAAGCATCACAAAGGTGGTCAAGAAGTGTGTGTCAGAGTGATCTCAATGTGTCTTTGCAGCCTCAGCTGCAGATGTGTCTTTGCAGCCTCAGCTGCAGATGTGTCTTTGCAGCCTCAGCTGCAGAATCTCATATGCCTAATCCCAAAGCCAAACCCATGCTGCATGTCCAGCCCTTCCAAAAGGGTGCCAAGTGTTTCCCATCCCCAAGAAAGAAGAAAAGTGAAAGAAAGAAAGACCAAAGCCCATTTATTCCAGCCCTCCGCGCAACGCCAAAAGCCAAATCCGGGGTATTGTTACCAAATCCTTGCGTTTCCCAATGTTCCTTGCCCTGTCCTTGAAAACACCTGCCAAATTGAGAAAGTTCCCAAATACCAGACCATGCTTGTGTGAGAGAGAAGCTTAGACGCCAACGGTGGTGACGGGGCCTTCGACGACGTGGGTGACGGTGACGTACTCAATCTCGACGTCAACGTCAGCGGTGGAGGTGGTCTGGGGAAGCTTCTTGCGGGTGTGGAGGACGGTGCTGTACGACTGCACCTGAGTGGGGGTGAAGGTGGGCTCCTCGGGGCGGATGGTGGTCAGGACGGGGATGGGGAGACCAGTGGGCCAGTTCTCAGTGGGCCAGGAGTAGGAGTAGGTGGAAGTGGAAGTGGTGTCGGTGACAGTGGGGATCGAGGTAGTAGTGAGCTTGCGGCGGGTGCCGTTGGCCTCGATGGCGGGAGCGCCAGCGACGAGGTTGGCCATGGTGCCGGTGAAGGCGAGGATGGCAGTGGCAGTGAAACCCTGGAGAAATTGTGAGATTGTGTGAAGAGGTGAGAATGGGGAGTAGGATACAAACTTACGTTCATCTTGACTGGTTGTGAAGGAGGTTTGGTTTGGTTGAGTTTGGTTGAAGGGTGAAGTTGTGAAAGGTTGGAGTGGTGATGGTTGTTTTTTGTGGTGATGGTCGAAGGAAGTGGTTGTTGTGGTGTGTGAAAGAGAAAGGTTGGAAAGGTTCGTGTGTGGGTGAGAAGGAAGAAGAGAAGGGTTAGAAGATGCGTTGTCTGAGAGAGGGGGTATAGGTCGAAGGGCGGCAGGGCGGTCGGTCGAAGGCGTATAGGGCTAGGCAGGATTTCGTCTCGCTTGTCTTCGGTTCGGCTTCTTTTTTTTGTTTTGATTTAAATCTTTTTGTGCGCGGACTAGCGTGGTTTGATCAAGAAAGAGAAGGAAGGAGGCAATTCGGGTGACCTCTTGCTAGATTCAGAGAGTTGGTGGGTGGTGGTGGTTCAGGCAGCAAAGGGCGGGTGGGTGAAAGGCAGCAGGCTGAGCTGCTGCTCAAAGACATCACCACGGTTACACTAACGTCACATCTCTCGCTTAATAATGGCTCCTGCCTCACAATCTGATTCATTGAGTGGTGGGAAGAGTCTTTCTTGGGGTAAGGAACTCAGTATATTCCATCTATGGCAGTAAGCCCATGGCGATAAACCTTGCCTTGACGAGGTACTTCTCATCCTTCAAGTTTGTCCTTCGCTGCGGTGTAGAACAGATGGAATTTTGCATGACGAATGATTCGATTTCTCTCCCATCTGCTGCTCCTTCTCAGGTTTCGATAGTTCATATCACTCAGTACATATCAAGCTGGTGACAGCCTGTCCGACTTTTTTCAGAGAGAAAATCCTTACTGCTCTTGCCTTTTGCATTGCCACCATGGAAGTGGCTATGACTTGAGATATTGCAATTGCCTCACGAAAGAATGTCACCAGGATTATTGCCACTTGCTGGAGAGAATTCAAGGCGGTTTCTACGTCAAGTCTACTCACTCACCTTCGGCTTTTTGATTCACGTACATTACCTTGATTACATGAAGCGCCTACCCATGCGTCCTACGATGTGCTCTGTGAAAAGCATGAGAGGGCCACTCACCGATTCCCTCCCCATTACTCTATGCCAATGTTCCATTCGCATGCTTCAAATTGATGGCATGTAATCCTTGACATTTTCTTCCAAAAGAGCCATCCACTCCGGCAGTGGTGGTGCTGTTTCCCACCACGGTGGCTGGTGTCGGAACCATTCTTGCTCCCATTTGCGCATATCCCACCGGCCATGCTGCATGACTATGTCCTCGACATCGCAAGCAATGCCGGTGTCGAAGTTGCAGTGCACAGGGAACGATTCTTTTCCAATGTTGCTGAAACCTTGTGGAAAGTCCTCGAAGAAATATCCCCAGAACCCTGTTCGTAAAATTGGAAATCTCTGATGCTGGTGAACATCAGTGTTTGTATAATGACCGTGTCTGATAACGGATTCGCCCCTCTTCTCAAACCATGAGATTTCGGGTAGCAATTTCTTATTCAAAGACATATCCCAGGCCAGCTGCCAGGCAACGTCTCGCTGAACGATACACTGGAATATCTCGGAGCACAGCGTCGGGGCAGGGTCTCCGTCTAGAAGGAGGGAGAAGGATTTCGCGGGCATGCCAGCAGGGAGCAGCGCCATAGCTTCCACAATCCAAGACGCTACGTTGCCTGTGATTTGGTCCGAGTTGAGAAAGGCAGGAGTAGGTCGATCTTTGAGCACACATCGCCGTTCTGGGTCAAGATAGTTGACGTCTTCTTGGAAGACATTTCTCCATAGCGAAACACGCCGTTCGATTCGGAGAAAAGGGTATTGCTGACAAAACGGTATGAGGCCTCGGGCATGGCACTCCGGGTTCGAAACAGCTTCATTCTTTTCGTCGAGGATGATTTTCCGGAGGTGGGTGCGGTTCTCGTGGTGGGTGGCTTCCAAAAAGTAGATGGCCGCCGCAGCAGCCGAGAAGCGGTAGATTGAGCGATCGGCTGTCAAACCAGCGCGATGACTCTGGTACACAGGTAGTTCTGATTCTAGCCTGCGCATCTGCGTATCGGATGGTATCGTCCAGGGCTCGATGGTGCTGTATACAATGAAAAAAGGATTCCATACACGTCGATCCGGCGTCGTTTCGACGACCTCGGGCCAGTAATTCCGCACGGCGTCTTGGAATTCGCCATCGCAGGTTGATGACTTCTGGAGGACGTCCTTGACGAACTCGCGGTAGACCGAAGGAGCTTCGCCGTAGGGTCCGCGGCGTTCCATGGCCAAGAGCGTGGCCTCAAGTGGCGACCGACGCCCTTCCCGCTTCAGGCGATCCAGCAAGAGCAGAAGTCGCGGATATGCCGTTGCCATCTCGGAGTAAACGGCGTCCGGGATGCAATACCCGACGGTTTGAAGCATTGCCAACCTCGTGCGATCCAGGGCGTCCTTCTTCCTCTGGAAGCTGCCAGCAAGCCAGCCGAGTGACTCTTCGGAGATGGGCGAGAAAGTGATGGTATTCAGGCGCAAGGCAAGACCGCCGCCGTCCATCTCTTCCGCGACGCGCTTGCAGGTGTAGACGAGAGACAGATGGATGCGGTCTCCTTTTGCTCGTTTCAGCTTTCCTCGGATGAAGCTATCAGTGTCGCAAACGTAGCCGCCATCGATGCTGACATAGAATGCATAGATGAGGTCCCGAAGCTCGTGAGGAAGCACAAACAGACTGGCGGGTCGCATCGTTTTGGTGGGTTGATGAGGTGATGTGAAGCGAAAGGAACCGATGCCTAGGCAGAGACTTAATCGGGACGGGCGGAGACTTTGTATGAGCCAGATACATAGTCAGCCATCCAGCCACAACGAAATTGATGACTTTCTCTGAGTTTTATCAGCCCAACCCAAGGTTTTCGGGGTGGCCCCATCAGCTTGATTGCACCAGGAGTAACTTCATGGAAATGAGGCCCCTCATCCGGGTGCTTTGAGGCCAAACCTAAAGATAATGCCTGAGCCACGTTCCCCACAGCCACACCTTCAGCCGCCTTGCTGCAGTTAGCGCCACGCTGTGGCACACCGGGGAACTTGTGGCCGACGGACTCCGGGGTTCCGGCACGGAACTGGAACGTTGAGAACTTGAGAGGGATCTCAATGAAATCGCGACAGTCCTTTGCTCATTATTCTCATTTTTCTGAGCTTTATGCAGCGGGGAATTACTAGTGCAAGCTGCTCAAATAGCCCAGGCTTGCTTCTTTGGACACAGTCACATAGATATCTTGAAGAAAGACTTCTCAATGGGTCGCTCGATTCTATGGTTACTACGACCCGATGTAGCATATCATCCAGTGTGCTTAGCTGCCATCCCCCCCACCCAACGGTTTAAACACGCTCAAATGACTTGAGATGAACAACGAAACCACAGCGAAGACACAGTTATGCTTAGTTGCCATGCACCAATGCCGAGCAAGAGGGGCGTTCCAAGCAGCTGCTTGTCAAGTCGTCTGGTTGTGGGGTTAGAGTTGCATCATCTCCGCACTTTGTCCAAGATCTGCCCCTGGTTCATGAGCAGCAAAATCTCCGCCTCCACATTCCTTGCCCGACTTCCCTGTCTTGCGCTTCTCCAAAATCGTGCAGCTCGCACTGACTCAGATGGAGGGAGGCTGCGCGTGTAACTGCCGGACAGCGGGTTCAAGGGGGTCCATGATTATGAAGAAGGAAAAAAAAAAAAAACGTCCGCTCATTGTCCGCACCTCCAAATGCAATGGCACCGTGGAACCCCACCTGCTCCGAAGCCGGACTTCTCTCCGCGATGGATATCGAGTGCCGGACAAGGGTCTTGGCCCCGATTGTGGGGAGAAAGAGAGGCAGAGAAGCATTATCTGCGGGGTAACATGGCCAAGACACGAACAAGATATTGGCTTGTTGCTGCTGTCTCCGATCCCCTACAAAGCTAGCCCGGCCCTTGACTCCGCGCGTGCGCCCATCACCATCTTACCGGCCGCCGCTAACGAGAGCCACCAACGGCCTGACGTCCCATTCAAACGTCATTGCGTTTCCACAGACGGAGACTGCCTGCAGTGCTTTGGGGAGGGTGCTTCTCACCGGATGGATACGGAGCAGTTGAACCTGGCCGGTGACCGGGAGCATAAAGAGGAAGCTTCCCATCCCGCGTCCTCTGCCGCCGCCACGGCCGACAATACTGCTGCTGCCGCCACCGCTTCTGCTTCTTCTCCTACCGCCGAGGGTTCCCGGTACGGCTTCTCCCAGTTCTTCGAAGGCATCGGCCTCTCCAGCAGCAACATCCCCTCCCTCCAGCAGATCGCCCTCTGGTTCCAGGCCGCCACCATGTCTCTCGTCAACGTGGACCTCAACGCCCTCGCCGTCGGCGGCGCGGGCTACCTCGCCTCCATCAACGCCGCCAACCTCTCCACCCCGGCCATCTCGCTGCTCGCCTACGAGCCGGCCTTCGCGGACGTCGTCGGCGCCAACGCCACCGCCCGCAAGATCGCCGACCTGCCCTGGCAGGCCTTCCACGAGGGCGGCATCTACAACAAGAAGGACAACTCGCTCTACATCTCCTCAAACTACCAGTCCCTCGCCGACAACATCAACATCACCGTCCTCTCCCTCGACGACCTCTCCATCACCAGCACCCAGCTCACCAACCTCGCCGAGGCCAACGGCGGCACCTCCTACTACCCGCCCGGCGCCGACACCTCCGCCACGCCGCCCATGCAGGTGTGGTGCGACGAGGGCGACTTCGCATCCTACTCGCAGCTGCTCGCCGTCGACGTCAACACGAACAAGTCGCAGCCGCTGCTCGTCGGCTTCAACGGGCGCAACTTCTCCTCCGTCAACGACGTGCGCCAGCACCCCGGCACGGGCGACCTGTGGTTCACCGACGCCGAGTACGGCCTGTTTCAGCACTTCCGGCCGGCCTCGCAGCTGCCGACGCAGGTGTACCGCTTCTCGCCCGCCACGGGCGCCGTGCAGGTCGTCGCGGACGGCTTCCGGCAGCCTAACGGGCTCGAGTTCTCGCCCGACTACAAGACGCTGTACGTCTCCGACACGGGCGCGCAGGAGTACACGGCGAACCTGACGGGCCCGGCGACCATCTACGCCTTCGACATTGTGGACGGCAAGCGGCTGGCGAACAAGCGCATGTTCGCGTATGCTGATTCTGGCTTCCCGGATGGTGTGCACACCGACACGGACGGCAATGTGTGGGCTGGCTGCGGCGACGGCGTGCACGTGTGGAACCCCGAGGGCGTCCTGCTGGGCAAGATTCACATTGGCGAGGTGTCGAACAACTTTGCGTTCGCGCCCGGCAAGGTGTTTGTGTTTTCCAACTACCGGCTGTGGGTTGTCGAGGGGATCAAGGCTCTCGGCCGGGAGGTCTGCAAGGATTTCGGCAAGGATGCTGATTCGAGATGTAGTCAGTAGGAGAAGATTGGGGTGCGGAGACTTTCCCGTGGGAGGGTGGTCTAGAAAAATGTTCCGACTAAGGTTATCTTAGACAGAACTTTAGAGTTTAATCTGACGACTGAAACGATGGGATGTTTCGTGCCAAGGCCGTCTCTTGTTTGTATGAGCTGCTCGTTGTGCGCGGCCATTATTTCGAGCCCAGAAATTGTCGACTCGACTGTGACACTGATGTCCTGATACATAGCGAACATGATGATGATTCTTCTCATAGCCCAAGATTACCATGAAAGTGTACCTCTTGGCACAATCAAAGGAGTTGCACGGGGGAAGTCGACTTCCGCACTTCTGAAGCCCCATGGGCTGTTGCCGTCCTCTCGCTAGAACCACTGCGACCGACTTCTCGGAAACCGGACGTCGCTCGAGTTGCCAAGGCCGCCTCATGACTCCATGCAAGGTACCGGCGTGGACGTAACATCGCGGTGGCTTGGCATCTGCCAGCCAAGGAAATACACGTGGGATATTGGAGAAGCTCAAAGCCAGGATCGGCTCGAGTGGCTTCTTCACTCAGTACAATTTGTCCCGGCGAATGCCGTAGAGTCTCGGGCACTTGCCTCGGCAGGAATTATAAAATGAGCAAATGCCAACCATCGGCGTACCTTATCAAGCAAACAATTCACGATCTGACTCTCTGCGCAAGTGTGCATGGTATTGGACACAAATGCTTTCAGAGTTTCGATTCGTTTGTCGATTGGTCAAGCAGACCAGGTAATCCATCGTACACGACCTGTCCATGTAAACTAGGTAGATATGAGTGCCTTGAATGCATGTAATCGACATCCGTCATCAACCAATCCAATGACATCTCCGACCTTTTGAGGCTGACCCTTCCCAAGTGCCTTTGTGCGTATTCTCAAGTACCCGTACTCGCATCGCGTGATATGGATTTCGATACATAAACTGTCCCGCGACCATCGCGACGGTGGAGCTCGAATCTGGAATAAGTGCCAACCTCGTTCTTCAGAACTGTCCCGCGACCAACAACATCGTACAGGCCGTCATAACGAATGCCAACGCTGCTCTCCGTTGAAGAAAGAGAACACACACTACAAAGACAAGTTAGCAGTGGCTCCGCATAGATGGAAAGAAGCTGTGTCCAGAGCCAGGGAGAAGGAAAAGGGAAGAACTTGCCCCCAATGTCTTGGACTGCGGACATTTTGTTTGCATGTTTGTGCTCTTTCCCATGAGGCGTTTCGGGGACTCGGCGGCAACCCTGAAGAGGACGATAAGGTAAGCTTTGAAGACGAGGATAGTGAGCAGCGGAGTCAACTTACCAACATCGTAGAGCCAGCAGCGCTTCCCATGATGCATCCCATCATGTCGCCGAGACATGTTCTGAGTTTGAATCTCCTCGGGCGGCCAACCCACGACCATGGGCCGATCAGATCAGAAGAAGGGACCGTTGATGTCCCATGCGAACGCATCGACCGCTCCAGGCGAAAGACGGGCCGTTGCAGTCGCGGCGAGGCGCGACGCCGACAAGAGGCGGGCTTCACATGAGGGAAGCCCGCCTCGAAGGAAATTCGTCGGCGAATCGACTCTCCGATATCTGCATATTGACGTGGCCCTCAGGCCTTATCAATGGGCTTCATGATCTCTCCAGTGATCGCGAGGTCACGGTAGCGAACGGCCTTTAACCATGTTGAGAGGAATCCTGATCTCTCCAGTGACCGCGGAGACACACAGAGACAATGGCGCGAAGGGTGAGCTCTCCTCCCCCATGGCGTGAAGGGTGAGCTGCCCACCTCGGCACTGGGAGGAGGCCCGCCCCCAATTGACCAAAACACAGAAAGTATGACGGCCCGGAAAAGGACGAGCCCGGAAAAAGACGAGAACAATGTTGCTGAAATCGGCCCATTATCCCATGGGGTGCAAGCCCAGAGGCAACGGGCGCTTGACGCGGGGGCTGCTACCGGGGCAGCCCCCGCAGGAATTGTTTGGTGTACTGATGTTTCCTGGATCTTTTCGGTTTTTGATTTTCAAGCTTTTTTGGTACTTTGTTGTTGAAACAAATTTGAAGGCGGGATTCCCTTCATCGCAACAGCAGTACGTTGAATTTCAGATGCAATCTGGTATCTGATCTCCGTGATGAGAGTTGATCTCAGTGCACCGTTATCGATGGCCCTGCACACCAAACGGCAACGGGCCCATGACGCGAGAATTGCTATGCCAGAAAATCGGCGAAAGGGAGTTCGTCGAAATAAATCCGCAGGTTGCATTCGTCACCACAGTTCCGGAAATATCGCGAATGCGGCTGATGAATGCCAAGCCACCTCCTCTGTCGTTGCCCCTCGAGAGGCCCAAGTCGGAAACATTCGAATTCTGGTGATTCTCGTGGTTAGCTGATGACGCCAGAAGAGGAGGAGGAGGGTGTCACAAACGCAGATTGCTTCATCCCAGGCCATGGACGTTCCTGGTGTAGAATCATCCAGCATGTATGTGTTTGGGCGGAAGTGAAGATGAGAAACGTATTCGAAAGGTGGTACTTAGTAGTGCTGTTATGGGCTGATTGTTCCAACCTTTGTTTGATCTCAACACTACATTGTACAACTTGCCTTTGAGTGCAGCCTGTCTCGTCATTGAGAACTTTTGAAAAAGTCTTGATGCGTGAATGCCGAGAGTTCGATACGTCCGTGCAGCTTGATCCCTTGGTATAAGTCGTTGATGAGAGCGTCTGCGAACTTTGCAAAGTCAGCTATTCCAACGCCATCGACAAATGAGGAGACAGATGACGGAGGCATGGAGAACGTACCAAAATAGTTTGAATAGTCTTGAGGCATTACCGAAGGCTGTGAAATGCTACGAAGAGCCGTAAGGAGAGTCCTCGAATGAGGCGTAAGCGCTGCAGGTGATCGATCACCTCGCCTGCTGCCCCAAGTATTCCGCTAGTTCTTGTGGAAGTTGTCTAAATCATTCTTCCGCGAAGACCAGACGCTCCAAATTCCAGCTGGCAACGCACCACCGTTGAATCTCCTTGATGCGTTGCGTTTTGTCGAGAACCTGACGTTGCAGGGTGTGTGCAGAGCTGGCTTGGGCAAACGCGAGAGGGTCCGTAGGCGCTGTGAAGATGCTCGAGTTGTTTGCTAGCGTCCATCATGGCGTCTGATGAGACGAAGCTGAGCCGGAAGCAACGTGCGAGCTGGCTTCATCAAGAGGCCTGACGCTCTGCTGAGACCCATCCAACTTCTTCTTGTACTCTTCAAGGTGTCGCTTCTCGATAATTCCAGCCTCTCACATTTTGTAATTTGATGACATGAAGGCGTCCGTTCGCCCATCTGTATTCAAGGGCCCGCGGTATTCCTAGATGCTGAAGCATGGGTGACAAGATCTCAGTCCTCAAGAGGTTAATTGAAGGCTTACTTGGAGTCCGAGAAGACAGTTAGAGCCCGACGCCCAGCCTTGATTGGGGACCTCCTCCTGAAGTCGAGCTACCTCCGCATGGAGCTCTGCAATTTTCTCATCGACTTCAACAGTCGCAGTGTAGAAAGGGCTTTCGCCCTTCCTAAATGGATAGGAGGGCCCGAGAAAATGATATGGCGGTGCCGATTTTGCCATGAGGTCTGTCTGCAGGGACTTTGAGGCCAATCCATGCTCCGAGAGCAGAATGAGAGGCGAATGCGCTGCCCACCAAATCCAGATGCCCCGGTGAGAACGGGGTCAAAAGGGCTTTCACCCAGACCGAAGGCAATCGTTGGACCCGGACCATCCAGGTTCCCTAGATGGCCGGGGGAAGAGGACTTGCACTAATGGCGAAGACAAGAAAGGTTTCATATCCAAGGTGATGTCAGGGTGTCTTTTGGCACGCATGAGCCTTAGACAGGTTTCGCCCTTGACGAAGACATGAAGTATCCACGAGGCTCCCAATAGCCTCAGCCGTTTGGCTCAAGACCGACAGTTTCCCCAAGTCTGGATCATCAATCTGTAGTCCTTGGCAAACAGGTGGCTCCAGTATCTTCGACAAGTTCCTTGCACGCACTCTCGGAGGTTTCGACTAGGGGTTGTCGCTGCAATAGTCTCGGAGGAAGGGTAAAAGGGGAGCTTGCGCTCCAGACGGAATCGTGAAATGTCGAAATACCGTTGCTTTCCACAAGGCGCGTTGTTTCTCGTGACCCCCAGTCTGGTCTAAGATTCCGAGGTCGAGTGTGCTTGATCATGCTGGCTCTGGGGCGCGTCTGGGTGACTTGGTCAGCTGGGCGTTGCGTGAAAGCCTTCCGGCCTCTCGGAACTCGGGGCTGCCTTACCAAGAAATTGTCGTAAGGAGATGTCGTTGTTGAAGTTTGCAAGAACGGGCGAACAAATGCAACTGCATGTTGCCCTTCCAGAAGGAAAGGTTGGCGACGTCCACATTCGAGGTGTGTTCTTCTACCTCTTGTCGCAGGTTTCGAGGAGGGACCGGACGGACAACCTGCAGCTGCATTCTGCCCGCCAGTTAATGTCTGCGCCAAGTCAGTGATGAGCACGCATACCTTGCAATAATAATATGGCATGAGAGCCAGTCGGAAGAGCTACGTTTGCTGCTGCCGCTTCGTGTTCGATATCATTAGTCCACTACGCCCATGCTCGTGGTTTCTTTTTCGTCCTGATTCGGCGCTGGCATTGAAGACGTCTCTCGGTCATCTGGTCCAATGACAGGAGGGCTCGGGAAGACTCGCAACAGTTCGGATAGAAGGTCAAGACGGAGACGAGACCCCAAATGAAGAGCCTCTTGGCGACGTCCACATTCAGTCCAAGTCCTCGGCCAATGCCACCGCTGAAGGACTGGTCCATGCGGACGGACGCGTAATGAGAGTATGCCGCACAAAGATGCTGGCCTAGCGTTTCCAAGCTGGAAATGCCTTCAACCGCCATCGAAAGCCATGACCGTCTGCGACCAACACCCAAACAGCAAATGGACTTTCGAGCTTTTGCCCAGTACTTGGATAGTCGCCAGGGTGCCGAATTTAGGCAGGTTTTCCCGAGAACACCGACCCATTCTGCCCAATTCACTCTTCCCGTCCAGCAAAGCCCGCGCATAGTCAAGCATGTTCCATGATGGCTTTCATAGTAGCTTCCTCTGCGCCGCCAAAGCAAAAGAATACTGCGGATCATCACGAAAAACTCAGCAGGATTCGTTTCCGTTGCCTTGACTGAGAATTCACGGCTGGTAGAAGACAAACACATGCTGTCATCATCATCATACCTTCTCACGTGGGAGGCAGAGGACACGACATGCAGTTCTGGTGTAGCGGGATGACTCACTGTGCAGAAGCAATCTGCCGCAGGCAGAGTCGTCAGGAAGGGCCACCGAAGCAATTAGAATAGGGCAGTGGGCGTAATGGACGGGGCCACTGGAGCTGTTGCTTGGCAACGACTCTTCCCATGCTTGATGATTGAGAAATCGAAAGAATGGGCTTCGTGTATTTGACCCTCGGATATTGAACTGAATTGCAGCAAGAGGGGTCGGTAACGTGCCTCAGGATGGGAGACTGATTGTAGGCTGGGCGGATGAAGTGGCTTGGAGACGCAATTCTTGCTCATGTCAGCAGGGATCTTCGATTGGGCCCGAGTTGAAAGATCGAAGTTTGCAAATGTTGGCTGAGTCATTCGCTGTGAAGCAGGACGACGTTGCCGTTTGATGCTCCCATAGCGGAGGATCTGACAGGAGCCCTTGTGCTGGGTTGTCGCGTCGAAAGATCTGAGTTGCGTCGACGGAGACCAAGCTGCTTGAGTTTCCATGCATGACCTCGCGCCGAAGCATCGAAATCTTCCCAAGAGCACATGAACCTGATTGCCGCCTTGCTTTCTTTGGCTGATGCAATTTCGGCTCGTTCCATCACACCGGAGCAGGTCGGTCATCGTCGAATTATTCAGCCACTCTCAGGCAACAGAACAGAGGCTTCCTGTAATGGATAATTAGTGATCATGCCGAGTGATTTATGGCCTTGGGGTTTGCAAACCTTGATGTAGGGGAGGAAGCACGCTCATTAAATGCATCTTGGGGATGGACAGCCTTGGCATGCTGTGGATGACCATGGTGGCTTGGTCATGGTGCTTGAAGTCATGCGTCAACGTCATGGGCGATGAGACACATGTGCTTGCCCGCATCGCATACAGACTCGACAGAGTCCAAGATCGTTCTTAAGTGCCAGCTGGGCTTGCAATGCAGTGGGAGCCTCAAGGAAGGGTCGAGACGCGCGCATCGAGCGGCCTGGATTGCAAATCGGGCGGACACTGATTAGGGATGTAGTGCTGGCTGGAGGTCATGGCGAGGAAACATAGTGATGAAGCAGTAATTTGGAAAGCATGGAGGTTGAGGTCGGTTCCAATTGATGGAGTGCTGAAGGCATACGACCATACCCATTGGAAAGATCGGGATCCCGTCCGCTGTACCGTAGATGTGGCAGGAGCGAGAACGACATGTTGGAGCCTGTGTCATAGGTTAGTCAATTGCAAAATTTCACGATGTTTGTCACTTGAGGCCATGGTGTTGAGAGTCCCCGTCGCTGACTTTGTTCAGTTTCTGGCAAAACAGCGAAATACACCTGTCTTGGGGTCCGTGGGGAAGGCACGTCCATCTTGGGGGAGCGGGATAAGGCCCGGTCTCTGGGACGATCGCTCAATCAATCAGGCAAATGAAGCTGGCATCGGTCGGGTTTGGGACAGATCGATCGAAGGCTCAATCAGCGGGCCAAAAGCGAGCCACTGGTGTGGTCTGGAACAATCAGCCGGGGCTCCTTCGTCACAAAGGCTGAAGATCTGATTGAGGCTGACTTGTGCAATTTTGTCTGTGCTCGTTTGAGCCAAGGGCGCACTCACACGCACAAAAAAGAGAAACAAATTTGGGAGTGCAAAATTTGCTGTCAAAGGGGGGATGGAGGGAAGCTCAAAGGAGGTTCAGCTGTGAACTGGAACAGACAGGCCAGCAAACCCTGAGATGCCAGCACTTGCCAAGCTGCCATCATAAAAACAGCACTTCCACGATTTCCATGATCGTGATAGGCAAGAAGACGTAGGGAAAGAGAAGATGTGATACTTACTTGGTGTTGTCCCTGGTCTGTGGTTGTTGGTGGTTGGTGATGTGTGAAGAGGGGAGAAAGTGGTGGCTTGGTTGGTGGAGTGTGAGAGATTGAATACCAGGGAAGAGATGAGGATGGGAGGACTCGGTTTCTGGTCCTCCTTGGACTTGCTTCTGAAAAGTAAACAGAACGAGGTGAATCTTGCTGGGTCACGTGCACGCTCGGTCTGGGTAGGCAGGTGGTCTCCTGAACGGCAGGCACGATGGATGCTGGGTGAAAGAGGCATAATGAAGCGTGTTGAATACGGCAGGAGAAGTGAAGAGTAATCAAATTATGGACCTCTCTTGATCTGCCTTAAAACGAGACCAAAGAATCACTTCGAGTCACGTGGTGGTTTGGTCAAGGTGAGGCTGTTTCCTGAACGGCAGGCACGACCGAAGCTGGGTCAAAGAGAAGAAAACCCAGCCATTATACAGTACACCATCACTTCATATTATACGTCATAGTTCATATAATTCCATTGTCATCTTGGTCTGGACACACTCCGTAGCTGAATTCCTTGGGTAGACCAAACCCCAGAAGACGGCTGTGTAGAGATGCATGGGTGGAACTGCTCACCTACTCAACGCACGAATAATATTTCATCACCATCAATTTTTCAAAGAGCTGCAAGACTCTGTTATCTCTATCTCATCAACCGTGCCGTCAAAGCCAACTAAAAAAAGCACGATCTGGAAAGCTCTTACCAGAGCTCGCCATATGACACTCGGGTGGCGTTGAATGCACGGCAGGAACCGGAAACCGTTCAACTGCTTCGTCGGGCACGACTTTTTGAAACCAATCAATAAGAAAACGCAAGTAATGTAACATTTGAATCCTCCCCATGAGAAACCTCGCCAGTCCCGCAGAGCATTGCCGTCGCCCCCTCGCCAAACCTCCAATCCTCAACGCCGAGAAACACATGCGCGCTGGATAGAATATCATCACATCCCGAGCCTCCACAGTTCACGTACTCGATCCAATCCTTCATTTTGCCAGGGGCCTTGTCCAGTGGAAGCGTTGCTTCCAGGTAAACGTACCGGAACGACGGCGCGTGTGCGGGAGTCTCGTTTCACGGGTTGCATCGAAACTCGCAGCCGTCTACGACGAACCCCTCTTCATTCTCTGAAACCTCTATCGCTTTGGTCAGAGATTTTGCCTTCTCGTTCGCTTCGTCGTTGTCTTAGTATCCAGACAGGAGGCGATCTGCCGCGTTCTAGGGCATCGAGACGTAGCTGCTCTCGTGGCAGAACAAGTCCCCGGGCAGACCCCTGAAGAACCATTGGACCTTGAGTCTACCCAGACTGAAGCAATCTTCAGTTATGTACAGCGATTTCCAGCACCAATAATCATTGGGCCCGGGAAACCGTGGTCCCATGACTGTAGAACGACGTGGCACCGGGGGCAATGACCGGGGGAAGCCCGGCAGTTGCTTTGGCGGGCCTTGTCCCATCAGACGCACTTGATGGAGATCACGGAATGTACGCATGGAGAGGGAGAGGATTGCTTTCTGCGCGTCAAGTGAACCCGGGTTTACTTTTTTGATCCGGTCAATATTGCCTCTTCTTTCTTATTTGCTGACCTTTAATAAGCTTTTGTCAGACCCTGCCGACGGCTTAATACGCTGGCATCGGCCCAAGTGAGGCCTTCCCGATCTGAGCCACAAGCCCGTCATCTATGACCTCCACTGACGTTTGACTGGGACATCTACCGCGTGCCTCGCGATCTCGGAAACGCGCAGCTTCGCATCGACTCCAGCATCGACCGGGGTATAAGGATGAGGCCGTGGCGGCCGTGGTGACGAACAACAAGGAACTCGAGCGGGCTTCTGTGGACGTCGGCTACAGTCACGAGCGTTGGCAGGATCCGAAGGGTTGCGATAATGCACCATTTGGCGACCTCCAAAGGGAGGAATTCCACGAATGTCGGTTCAGGAAGACGGTGCTCTGGTGACTGGGGATTAAAACAAGGCGCTAGATCAAGCAGATGTGTGGCAAAGCTCTCAGCTGGAGGGAACACTGTAGAGGAGGGACATGCCCGAGACTTCCGTTAACGAAAATCGATAGGGAGTTTCGCTAGTTGTTCTAGCGACGCACTGAGAAGCAGCTGCACTAGCAAATTCTGCAAAGCGTAAGTGCAAGTCGAAGCCCCCCTTCCCCCTTATAACGTAAGTTCTGTGTTGAGCACTGCAAAGTTTCCATTCCTACCACCCGCTTATGCGATGACTTTGCCTAAGTCGATGTCTTTCACAGAAGCAAACAACTGGTGATCTATAATTAGGAGGTGCAAAGTGCCTGCCAGATGTAATGACTCCTACATTAACACGACTCTACGACAAAGTTGCCAGGAGCCAGGGCTGAAACGCCCCTAAGGAACGTCACGACGGCGCTCAGATACACGCCGGGAACGACGATCAACGCCCGCCTCATAGCCGAGTAGGAGCTGAACTTGAACCGACAACCAGTCCGGAGTTGGCGGGAGAAGAAGGACCTCACAGGGGAAATGGAACAAATTCACGAACCCAGCAACGCGCTTAGACTGTCAGGGACAAAGGCGTAAACATGAAGTTACATCGACGTCAACCTCAAGAATCCCCTCAAGCGGGCATCAGTACCGCTCGACAAAGAGGTGCAGCCGGGAAAGAGAATGCAGTGCTCAAGACGCTGCTGGGGAACACCGAGAAGCTCCAGAAGAAGCTGGCCGCGGTATTTCCCTCGACTGGGACAACCCGTTTAAATGAGATAAGGATTGTGTAGTTGTGAGAGAGCACTTTATCATCCACACCAAACCCGGATTCCTTCCAGAAGAACACCCCACCCCTACCTACGTCATCACCCATCCCCAACTTCCGCCCCCATCAGCAGCATAACCACACCCGTGGATACATCTCTCTTCTGCAGGGACCTCCCCTCCCCCTAACCGCCTCCAAAAACAGGGCTGTCAAAAACCAAGAACAAGAACGAGATCCGTCGTCTGGTGTGTGTGGCCCCCTCAATGCCATCAATCGCCCCGCTGCCCTTCCAGGATTTCTACCGTTGAAAAAAAAAAGCGGACAACTTCCGTCGCCTCCCGCCCCACCCCGGCCCCGAGCGCCGCACCGTCCATCTCGGCCGTCGCGTTTCACCACGGCACGGCCAAAAAGCGGGGCCTTCTCAAATGGAAAAATCTTCACTCGTTGTTCACGTCTCCCTACGCAGACAGACCATTTTTTTGCTTTGATCCAAATTTAGTTTCTGTAGAAAAGCCAAAGTTGCTCCATTCCGCCAAGACGCCATCATCCCGGGTCCCCCTTCCATCCCCCACGGGGTCATGCTGTGCGGATGCGGAATGAAAGGGCTTGGCGATGATGCGCGTCTCCATTTGGGGATTAGGGGATGGACCTTGCTATTTTCTGCTAGACTCCTTGCATCGTGTATTATGTCGCTCCGATGTGATGGGATGAAAAGTGTCACGCTTCTTGACGCATGTAGCGAATAAAACTCGGAATTGTCGTGAGTTTGAATGGGTTTGGAAATAGCTTCAGTTGATAGGGAAAAGATTCAGTAGGTAATATCAATATCCACCCAACTGGCAAAACAAATCCACGTGAACATCACCAGCGAGTAGATCAAAATCTTGCTTCATAAAGTGAATTAAGCACTGGGGTATCATTTTATGTACAGAACCGCCCTCCTCTCGCTTCTTGACGTCGTCTTTTTTTGTGAAAACCATAGCACAATGCGCCCAAGCCCGCGAGCGCCTCCCTGCGTGACAATTCTTTGTGATCATTAGACCTCGCATGGTTCTTTTGTTGCTGTTTTCCATGAAAGTCGTGTGTAGCTTTGTCCCGCAGTCCAATTGACCTGCTCCAAAGGTTTTTGTTTTGTGTATGCTCAGTCGAATCTCGGCCTGGCTCAGAGACATTTCGGCCGTTTGAGTGCCTGGCTCCGAAATCGTGCTGAGCGGGTTTTCTGGTGAATGAAAAAGGTTGTTGCGAGGCTCTTAGTTCTGGACCTCCTCGGACGGGGGACCCGCGTAGTTCTTGCGACCCCAGGCGAAGTACCAGATACCGGAGATGAGGCACGCGGCGACGAACACGGCAGGGGCGTAGTTGATGGTGGTAGGAGTGACGGGGACGAAGGTGGGCATGCAGAACAGAGGCATGGCGAGGAGAGACCAGGCTGAGAGTTTGTTAGCGATGGGTTCGACAGCAGATTTTGTGACTAAACTTACCAAGAGCAACAACGTTGGCAAAGGCACCGAAAGCGCCAAGGTTGAAGTCCGCGCCAACCAAGTGGGTGCGACCGCCGAACAAGCTGATGGCAATGGGGACGGCGTAGGAGGCGGTCAAGCAGATGACACCAACACCAGAGAAGGCGTTGAAGGCGGCGCTGGAACCGAAGTAGATGACACCGAGGATGATCTGGACAGCCATCGAGAGCATCATGGCGTTCAGAGGAACGTCGAGCTTGTGGTTGACCTCTTTCCACCAGCGGGAGCCGGGAATGGCACCATCACGTGCAAAGGCCCAGGTGCAGCGG